AAAAAAAAAAAAAAAAAAAGAAATTCTCACTTTGTTCATTCATTCTTCTCTTGACTTTGGTGAAAATTTTTATGACTGTTATTTTGAATTCTGTATCAGTTAAATCACTTACTTACATTCTTTGAGATCTGTTTCTAGGTATTTATTTTGTTCTTTTGTTTGGAATATATTCCTCTGTTCATTTTCAGTGACTTGTCTGTTTTGGTTCCTGCACATTAGATGAACCTAGCCGTCTCTCCCAGTCTTGACAGAATGCTCTTGTGTAATAGACGAACCTCCTTGATCAGCCTGGCTTGAGCTCCTAGTTGTCTGTCAGAGTTTTGTGATTGCCCAAGCCTCTTTTTTTGTTCTCAGTCGCTCCCAGTAGTTGAAGGTGCCAGGTCATGGTAGTATCCCAAAAAGGAGGATCATAGTCAGCACGTAGATGCAGGATGATTAGGAACTGGACCCTCTAGCAGCAACTGAGAAAATATGTGGTTAAGCCCCTTCCAGAGAAAAACTGGGAGATGGGCATTTTTGCCTATTCCCTCTGTGCTAGCCTGAGGATAAAGCTGCAGGAGGTGCCTCTGTGCCTGGTCAGAGCTGTTTTCCTTGCTTGCTACCATAGGATGGGACTAATGAATGCAAGCCCTGTTGGCTCCTAGGGGCAGGCCATCCTCAGGTCTGTCTCTTCGGTGGCAGCCACAAAAGCTGAGGGCCAGATGTGTGTACAAGCTCCTTTCAGGGCCGTATGGGGGACTTGTTTTGATTATTGGAGCCCCCTGAGGGGAGAAAGCAGGATATGTATCTGCTGGGTTCCCCAGTCTCTGAAGAGGATGACAACCCACAGTGCCTGCCAAGTTAGAAGTCTGGTCCTTAGGCTTCAGCTTTTAAAATATACACTGAAACTTTTTCAGGGGAGGACTGGGAGATGGGCAGTTTTGCCTGCTCCCTCTGTGCTGAACACACCATACACACACACACACACACACACACACACACACACCTATATACATGCATACATACATGCATATATATACCTTTGCACACATATACATATGAATACACACACACACACAGATACACGCTTGGGCACAAGTCCTGCTGACTCAGAGCTAGGTGTTTTTTTCTAACCAACCTTTAATTCACCCATGCTGTCTTTAGCTGGGTCTAATCTGATGTGAAATTTATCTTTTTAATTTCTAATTGTAGTTAATTAGGGGGATTAGAAAAAAAACTCTAAAAATCCTCTTTGCGGAGGGTTGGGGGGATGATTTACGAAAAATTGAGAAATGTTACCCTGGGGCATAAGTTCAGTAGCCAGTATCCTGGGGGGCCACTCGGACTTGCTTTTGAGCAGACATTCTCTTACTCTCCAGACCCCCATTTCTGTGTTTTGGCCCTAACAGAATAGCCTCTGTGACAAAACTCTTTGGAAAGTCATCTTTCCATCTCTCTGAACGAGGGAATAGCTTGAGGAAGGTGATCTGAAGGTCTAATTGCTCTTTATAAAGACTTTAAATCAATTATTCTTTTCAGTTGCACCCTGAACACCAGTATCTCCAGTTTCTCAGCTTTGCTGCAGCTTTTGTAATGCAAATCCACGCATCCCTGTTGGCTTCCCCTGTCCTATGGACTTGAGCAAAGTGGAAGTTGGAACCCAGGCCCTTTCACTTCATCCATCTGCCTCCATCTGCCAACACTTCGTTGAGATCTCTTCTTTGCTTTTACTCCCTCTTTGGTTTTCTTTTTCCTGTGGACTGTCCTTTAGAAAAGAAGTTATTCTTTTACAGTCATCTTAGTTGCTCTTGAGATTCACTGTAGTTACCGGAACTTCTAGAACTTCCTTTTCAGTGAAGCCTGCGGTTGAAAATTAATCGTGTTTTTTATTCCCAGGGCATTCATTGGAAATTACACACATAAAACATTTTAAGTATCCCCGATTGTATTTGTTGTATAATAAAAATTTCATCTGATGTAACACTGAGTCTACAATATATCTTTCTTAGGGGGTGTGTTTCTTTTAGGTCTAAGCTGGGAATATTGGTTGAGCTCATTTAAAAGCTTACAGCTATTGGGGCACCTGGGTGGCTCAGTCGGTTAAGCATCCGACTTCAGCTCAGGTCATGATCTCACGGCTCGCGAGTTCAAGCCCCGCATTGGGCTCTGTGCTGACAGCTCGGAGCTCGGAGCCTGGAGCCGCCTTCGGATTCTGTGTGTGTCTCTGTCACTCCCCCACTTGTACTGTGTCTCTGTCTTCCTCTGTCAAAAATACATGGACAATAAAAATAAAATAAAAGCTTATAGCTATGTAGTATTT